TAAAGATTTTGATATCAAAATAATGATCCTATTTAATTTATCTAAAATCATCAATTAAAATATAATGAGAATAATTGTTTTTTCTGATCGTTACGCTTGCTGAATCAAATCTAATCTAGTTCGTTTTGGACATTTGTGAAATTTGTTATGCAGCCAGGCAAGGTGCACATTTCATCAGATACTAAAGCATTATTGCTAGCCGATCGCTACCACCTTGAATCACGCGGTTTGGTGTGGGTCAAGGTTCGTATCGCAAAAACTTTAATTTAGGAATTCCCATTCGCCGCATCGTGTCGCATAATCCGGTTATTGTTCCGTATAGGGAAAAGGTAACATGGAAACCTATTGGTTGTACGATAAAACGGACAAGGACGTTAAACCGACGGAGGAGGACGCCGCCAGGCCTGCGGGACTTCTAGTCACTGACATTTAACGCGTGATTTAAGATCAAGCTTTAAGTGATTCTATCGAGCCAAGAATTATAGTGTTGTGAAATATTGCATAGAATTTTGCAAACCTAAAGTTTCACGCAACATGATTCAATATTATGTATTCAATTGAACGAAACAGGTATTTATGAAATAATTGCATCACTATAATTCTCTGTTCGTTATTTATAAAACGGATTGTTGTGACGGAAACAATCGAACGAGATCTGACAAAACAATCAAACATCATTTTACTGACGTGCAATAATGCGTATCGAGCGTGCATTCATATATTATAGGAAATCATCCAGAGTTTCTTAGTTTCACAGCGAAAATGTAGACATATCACATAGTTATAGAGCACGTGTACACGTAAATACGTTTACTCGAATATTTTTAAGTAGTGCTCGCACTTAGGTTCTCATAAATTATTTAATAGCTGCGATCACAATGATACGTCGATCGACGACAAACGATACACGATTATTTTCTGAGAAACGAAATTCTCCCTGAATTGAACAATAAATGAACCGTGTTTCTCGATTTATCTTTAATTGCTTTTTATATCCTATTTCCAATACTGTCTTACTCTTTTATTTTCCACATTGTACGTGTTATTTATTTCTTCCTTGACCAACAAAAATAATTAAACTTGGGATGGTAGGAATTAAATGGGATCAAACAGAAGTGCAAAGTCAAACGAAAAATTTCATTATAAAATTTACTTTCAGTACAATATACAATAATACATAAATAAAATATAAAACAACAATAAATTATATTGATAAAAAGTACGAGTATTACAGAATTCCGGTATAAATTAAATTATGCTAGAATCGTTTAACTCGAGTTCCACTCACGTGGAAACCTATCCAATTTTCTGATCTATTTCCAAATAAATTTAGATTCCTTCTAGCCTTGAGAGTTTTTCAATTAATGTTTTCACGACTGAATAACATTTGTAATCAAGTTTAGTCACTGTCCCTGTAATTCGGAAAAAAATGAACAGAACGAAATGATTGCTGATGCGATTAATTATTGCCTTCAGTTGGTCGCAAATTTAATTACAGTTCGCCTAATTATCTAGAGCGAGTCTCGATCGACGTTTCACTGTCGAACGCTCGTACGGGTTTGGCGCATGAGGAAAAAAACAGCGGCACACGAGGCGTTTGATTTCTCCGCAGGCGCGACAAATCGAAGCTCCGTGCGAGTGGCGAGTACGTAAGTAAGCAAATACATACATACATACACACGTACTTGAGTTTTCATCGAAATTCCGCGTCGAAGGGAATAGAGAAAGTCCGGGCGCGGCTTTCTTTTCGTACGTAGATATACAAATAATACATGTACGTACATACGTGTATGCACGCGTTCAATGTTGTACGAGCGTCGGACGCGCGATACGTGCCTTAACTCTCAATCGTTTTTCGCCTGCATCGACGTTTAAGGGATAACGGATCGCGTCGTCGCCGGCTATTTCAGAGCTTCCCGTGGACGCGTAGATACGTCTTTTAATCTAAATATAGCCGATAAATAAATAAGGGGACTCCGGTACCAAAATTAAATATGCCGGGCCTGTCCCCGCGTTGCGTCGCGACCTCCTCCCCTGATCTATGCGTCTCTCATGGCCGAATTTTAACGAAATTCGCTGGACAGCCTGATTGTAATATTCCACGAGGACGACGTTCGATTTTAAGTATTTTTCGTAGGAAACCGCGGTAGCTAGATGTACAAAAACGATGAGTTTATCATCATTCTTAGAACGATTTACCTTGCGGGCTACCTTGAAGCCGTTCACAACTGGTTTCTTTTTATCATACTGTCATACAAAAATTGTTTCAACAATTATAGAAATATAATAGAAACAGATCAATAGATATCAATGAATCATCGACGGCCTCAAGATAACCTGATTTTAATATAAAACAAGAATAAAAAAAGAATGAATGGACTGCGGATTTTATGCTTATAGAAAAATCGACTATGTAGAAAATATAAAATATTTATAAAAATAAATAAAATATCAAAAGCTTAAATGCATAAAATTTCTATCTATATCGTATTTCTTGAATTGTTACTACAAATGTTTTATTTGACATAAAAATTCGCAGTCAATTAATGAGTGATCTCGCATGCGTCGGGTCAACAATAACACGCGTCCTCGGTGTTTTGCGCGATCCACGTGAGGTAACGATTCACACGGCTGTAAACGCCGGGGTAGCCGGGTTTCGCGCATCCCTCGCCCCAGGACACGACTCCTGCGAATTAGACTCGTCATTATAGCTTTATTTAATAGCGAAACAACCGCTGCAGCAGACATAAAGTGAGTTTCAAACGCTTAATCCAGAATCTAATTTAATGTTTTATAATCTCTCGGTTTCTAATTTTATAATTGAATACATTCATTCTGAATTACGCTGATGATTTCCTGGAAGAATGTACAATGGCATTTCTACCGTTTCTATGATTAATTATTTATATTTTTTATAAGTACTTTGTGTTCCTGTATTATCCTTTCCTTTGTTCTGAGTGAAACTCCTTTTATATCTGTACCACCGGCTTAATGTTCGTTCTTCGTGAAGCAAACAAGCAATATAGCGCAAAACTTACCAACTATGTCGTACGTGTTCTCCCTGATGATATGTAGCGGGCCACCACTGTCACCCTAATAAGAACAAAAACAATACCTCAAGCTAAGCTCACTTTGTCCGCCTAATAACAAGGGACGTTCACACGTGCGCTTACAATTAGATGCAACTGTATGTGTTGTTGAGCGAAACAGGTGTCAATAATAACGAGATAACGGCCGAGGAGCTGGTGTACTTAATTACCTGACATGAATCCTTCTTCCCTTCCTCGTAGCCTGCGCAGAGCATGTTGTCCGTGATCCTTCGCGCAGGGTACTTAGTCGTACGGCACTCGGCATTCGACAGAATTGGGACATTCACTTCCTGGAGAGTCTGTGATATGGCTCCGGATTCCGCGGTCGCTCCCCAGCCTGTCACTATGCCGTTCATTCCAGCAAAAGTTTTTGCTAAAAGTTCAACAGAAATTCCTCGTTTTCAAAATTTGATCCGTAAAATGTACTCTATTTTTTATACTATTTTAATAATCAATGAGATTTATTGATAGTATTAAAACAAGAATTAATTTTGTTAAGAATAGAATGATCGGGGTGTTTCGTTTTACCTCGTTCGGGAAGACAGACAGGTCTCATCTTCCCCTCGAATTGAATGCTATCGTTCAACTTGACAAGCGCGATGTCATTATTGTAGTTGGTCGTTGAATAACCACTGTGCTTGATCACTTTTTCGGCTTTGAACACTTGCGTCTCCGTCTCCGTCGTGGAGTTACGATCGTGTTCCAATATCTTCACCGATATGAAATTCGGGTCGAACCTGTGTCCAATTATTCACGGAATTGACGCAGGTTACAGATTGAGCACGGCTTGATTGATTGAGCACCGTTATACATGATAGGTAAAAGGAATGTAATACATAGAACACAGTAACATTGCATTATAAGCTTAGAACCGTTCCCCCAAAAAATTTTTCATAGTTCTTTTTATTTAAGGATTATTATTCTTTTTAATAAAGCTTTTTCTTTCGTGAAATACTTGATGCTAATTTTAGATTATAACTGAAGCATCGGACATTTATTGTACCATCAATTGTGCCATGTGATATTAAATCTACATTAACGTATACTGTGGAGGTAAGTTAATAAAAGATGAAGTTACCTGTCAACGCAGTGTGCGGCGGTTAGTACGTAACGGGAATTTATAACTGATCCACCGCAATAGAATCGACCCCTGAACATCATTAATGCCATCCATGGATATTGATTGACTTTAGTCTCAACACCTCCTACTATCCTCCTCTGTGTATTCGTTATTCCACATTCTATGAAATAACACATGATAATTGATTTTATATCTTGATACTTTAATATCATACGAATATTTAGATTTTTATTTCGATCTCTTAAATAACATTTGATATTTGTCGTTAATTTGATATTTGTTGTTAACATAATTGACATTTGCTAATACCTTGTAAAATAAGATAAACTCTAACTTACTGCAAGGTAAACAGTTAGCAGGAGGCTTAACTGGTTCCGGAGGTTCGGTTGTGCTAATAGGCGTAGGTGTTGTTACAGATCCTGCGTTTGATACGAAACCATACAACCATTCCCAGAAATTTTTATCATCTGTGATCGTCGAATTCGTTGTTGAATTATTACTGTAATACTGCGTGACGTTCGATTTATATTCCTCTTCCACCGGTGACCGCGACTACAAATTTATAACAACTCTTCGTCATTAATATTGAACATTAATTTTGTGACATAATTAAATTGCTTTTATTTATCTTTAAATGATTATTGAAAATATTCCTGGAGATTTGTTTGATTTTTTCGAAAATGAATGAATAAATGTTCAGCGTGTGTCTAGACTTTGGCCACTAGGCTTATACGATTTTAGAAAGAAGGAACACTGATCTTGACATTCATTGCCGTTATGTGTCCTCAATATGAAGTTCTCAATTATATATGCAGAACTATGGAAGATTATATTTATCGATTATACTATCTATGTCTATATGTCTATAAATGATCACATAAATAATCATTAGAGTATTATTTACCCTAACAAATTTGGATCCCTACCATTCATAAAAAATAGCACCTACATTTTTTTAGAACTGAATGCAAAAGTATTTAACTTCTGAAATTAGAAGATTCGTTCAGGAATACACAATTTGCAACTGCCCTTCGCAATCACCGCAAGTATTTCACAGAGGCATTGTCATCCCATTCTGTCAACTTATTCCTGTTCCTTATTACTTACTTCCTCGGAATTAACGCAGGCCACTGCGATCACAACGGCCACGAAGATCGTCGTACGTGTAACACACATGATTCAACAGATCAGCACTCTTCTAGTCGCGCACTAAACGAATTATTAGCTAGTGTGAATTGAACGGCGCTCGGTCGCCGAATAAAACGGAGCAGAACCGATTCCTATCGGACCCGATCCGATCTCTGCACGCTTCCCACCGTCACGACGTATACTTTCACACAACACTCGCTCGTGGACATCGCATCTTTATTTATACGGAATAGTGGACAGCCGGCAGGTAGCCGAAGTGAAAATTTAGGCTGACCGTACTTATGTAAATTCACGTCGTGGACAAACAACTGTTCCTGGGCCTCGTACACAGTGACAGTCAAAAATTTGATATAACAGTCTACTACCTACGCGTATATTATTAGTAAGCTGAGGATGTTTATGCGTTTAATTATGCCGAAATTTAAACAATGCACACTATAATAATTAATTAATGTACAAAACGAGAGTATGTTTGATTCTCCAAAATTTTATTCTACGTATTTCATTGTACAAAATTGTCAGTAACGTTAAACATGTGACTTGTACTTTTCTATCCATTAAATACTTTGTGCTATTTATGTCAATTTAAAAAGAACATAAGTTCAGTCATAAAATGACTGTGAAGACAAACTTGCAAATAGGAAAGTTCTAACGAGATTAAATGTCATGAACGAAGATAGTTTTTACATAAAAACTGGAAGAAGGTCAAGAATTTTAATTACCTTCCATTACCCTCTTAAATGGGTTTTAATAAGGGAATTCTCACGTATCACTACTTATGAAACTTTTAATTATCTTCTGTGAACCAGATGAAAAGTGCTAAAGGCATGTACGTATATAACAGAACATACATAGACTCGTGTACTTACTTTTCACTATAGATGATTGTTCTTAAGTCAATTAAGTGCATAAAAAATTGTTCACTTTAAAAGAGAATAATACTAGACGTGAATCATCGTTTGATTGAACATTATAATAGAACCATTGTTTAACTATTGTTAGATCGCCATTCAATTACAGATTCAATTAAATGATCATTCGAATCCACTTTGTATTTTAAATTTCGTTTAATCGCGTGTCCCGGTCGAGAGCGATGAGGCTCCTGTGCAACTCGTCTTATCATGCGTCTAGTTAATATCCGAGAAAATTAGATAAGATGATTTAGGACGGGTGGATTGTATCTCACCTGTAACCCGTAACACAGTGGGTCAAGGTATTTAGGTCACAGCACCCTCATGCGGGTGGGACATTGCTTTATTTTATTGTCTACGGATGACTAACGTTATCAACAGCCTTGCCTTATTTACGCTTATCGCCAGGGTCAGATCGTCACCACGATTTCAACTTTTTTCACGGGCAAGATAACGTTTCCATCATCTTCTCTCGTACCTTCGGTGGTACACCAGGCGTAACTTCTTTCTAAATGGCATAATCGGAGACCTACACTAATTCAATCGTGCGTAATTGATTCCTATAACATCTATAACATATCTTCACTGACCATAGCAACTTTGATATTATTGAGCATTAAATTACTGATTTCTGATCTTATTTTATGATTAATGTATGTCAGATACGTATGTATCAGCTGAAATAATTTATTCCTTTATGTAATGTATTACTGTTATGTATTGCACATTGAAGGTAGAGTATGTCAAGGATCCAGGTAATCGCAAATGCATGTTTTTTTGCACTTATTTATGATGATAAAAATTTCAACTTATTATGAGACCAAACTGCGTTATACATCATTCTGCGTTATAATAAATATTGCTAAAAATCGTGCAGAACTGCTCCGACTAAAAAGAGTTCGAAGAAGCAGGAGAGCGCGTAATAATAAATGAACCAATTCTTACGAGTGATCATCTTGCTTTTATTACTTGAACGCAATCGTTATTCGTGTTTTTTGATACACTCCTTTTTTGTCTCATAAACCATGGGGCATTGGTTTGCAAATTATTCTTATTACTTGAGCCTGCGCGACCCAATTCACCGCGAGACACGTGCACCTTGGTGTGCATTGACACGAGGCGCGTCGCGGCGCACGCAGCGCGCAGTTTGTTACCGGAATAATTGAATTTCTGTATCGAAGTGACAGAACCTCATTACGGGCGAAACTTGTTCGGTATTAAGCGTAACGGTACACCCCGACGTCGTCCTGAACGAAACCGGATGGGAACAATATATACAGGGTGTTTCCGAAATCGTATAATCAGCCAAGGGGTAGTTCGTAAAAAAAAACAACAGAATGTCTGATTAAATTACTTAACTGCTACAAAAGAATTATTAAACTTTAATGAATCTTTTTAATGAAGTTACACTCTATAAAACAAATATTTTATTTCAGTAATTCTAGTGGTATGTCTGGAGTACGTTTCAAACATACAAAACTTGTTATATGCTGGAAATATTCATTGTAGACAGAAACTACAGTAATTAGTTTAAGAATCCCTGGCAGACATCTAATTGCAGATTAGCTTATATTTAAGGTCTAAGTGAAACACGTGTACACACGGCGCGTGAGTCGCCTTAACGGCGTTGCAACATCTATTCAGTAGACTGGAACTGCTCCATAGCGAGAATCGTTTACGAGATGTAGCTCGTTAAATGTTTGCCTTAGCCTCACGAATCTAAAGGGCGCAAGGGCGAGCAGTTGGCTATTACATTGACCCGATTCTGGGACCGTAATAGCAATCCGATTTGATGGTAATGTCGCCACGAACTTCTTAGTACCTCGTCCAGTTAATACCTTTGCTACCTACGACGTGAAACGAAATTGTTTCATGGACCCCAGAGTCGGAGTTTCGCGAAACTTTGCTTTTTCGTCGTTAGGGACGATTTGTACCATGCATAATTCATTTAATAAAACTACTCTGTTTGTCTCGGAGTTTGTTCTATGATTTCAGAAACTTGAATACGACGTTTTCGGCGAATGTTCCGAAATTCACTTTGAACTAGTTTATTGTCAGTAGGATCTTAGAAGTTCCGAAGGCAAACCCATAACGCTGATAGTAAATTCCAATTACATTATGTTAACTCGTAACATGAAGTATCGAAAAGTTTGCAATTTAAGATACCTGCAGCTACCTCAACGGGTCCGTTAATTAAGTGACACCTTTTCGATCACCGTGTTTCGTGTCATGTACGGAGACAATAGCAGCGAAGAATTGTATGGGAGAGCGTAAAGAATTTCGTCTGACGAAAGTGACATTGATCCAGTCTGAAAGACATGAGGGAAGGACGCGCGGTATGCGCGAGACGTAAAGGGGGAGGCCAGGTTTGAGGTGGCGGTCCCGGGATGACATTGGTGGTCGTTGCTCGGTCCCAAACTCGTGCCGCACACACGCACCCGGCTACGTCACGGACATCGTCATTTTCCGCTGGTGTGTATGGGCCGTATATCCTCCGCGCAGGTGAGACTCGCCACGGGCTGATTTAAACGCTGTCACATGCAACATCTGCCAATGCAAACGCACCACTCAAGGTTGACGATCCCCACCGGGGAGCACGCGGGTCGCGTCGTCACCTCTTCGAGATACTTAGTTATAATTTACTATAAAACGGCAAAACGGTCCGCGATACCTTTAGACTTTTCACGCCCGCCGTTAGGCACAGCAGCCGGCGATACGAACAGAGATATAGTAGACACTAAGTGATCCCGGTCGTCGTGCCTACCTTGCCCGTCGACTCGCTACACCACAACCGAGTACAGCTGTTGCATATCGCCAACCGGGACACCATACATATTATGTCGGACCACGCGACAATGCAACGCGCGCTCCTCGTACTCCTCTGGTTAAGTTGTTGCAGCTACGCGTTACCGCGAGTGGTGAGTCGCATCTTCATAACAGAATTAATATTACAATAGAACTTAGGAAAATTCAATGTGCAATTGTTGTATTCTTTTTATTCAGATTATACGAAATCATAAAAGGAATCCGGCAAACGTTCACGTGCGGTATAACACCTCTGACTTTAATGGCTTGAAGCCGATAGATGAGACGTCGTACATCGATTTCAATTCAGGGCCGTCGATCACCTCGAAGAGGCCGAACGTCTGCGACAATTGCGGTAATTAACGATCCTGCGACGAGTGAAATTGACGATAAATGTTTCATCAATTTTCTCGCATCTGTCGCAGTGTGTGGCGTGGGCCGGAAAACAAGGATCGTCGGCGGGAACGTGACGAGCGTTTACGAGTACCCATGGATCGTTAGCATGAGTAAACAAGGCACATTTTACTGCGCGGGCAGTTTAATCACGCGCCGACACGTACTCACAGCGGCGCACTGCTTGGGAGGGTGAGTACACCCCGTCACATAAAATATTGTGCAACGAAACGGAATCAGGTGTACATATTGGCTAGACGATTGTTTTGCTTACGTTTAGACACATTAACTGATGCATTATTATACCTCTTTTTGCTCTTTGTTTTATTTCACTTAGATGCGGAATCGAAGAATGTTGTTCTACTAGTGAAAATGACGCTTGTGATAATTATCGTGAGTTACTGGTGACATATTATAGCATAGGACATGCTCGGATTTTGTACATAAGTACATTCGATGTACATGAAATTTGTTGATAAATGATAATACATTTAATTCTGTCATACCTAAAAGCTTCGATCAAGTTTACAAGCGAATTAAGTTTCCCTTAAAATTATTCATCTTATTAATGTGAAAAGTTGTCCAATGAAAAAATTCAAATTCCTATTCTAAAGTTATGTTTCCTTGTACTACAACAATAACGTATAATAAAAGTGATATAACACAATGTTAAATATCTTCGATTTTGTAACTAAAAATAATGTATATATTTCCTGTAGCTATGTTAATCAATTCCAGATTCGACAAGAGAAGCATCAAGTTGATCCTGGCGGATAACAACCGGACGAAACTCGACAAGAATTCGATAGTCCGACGCATCAAATCGGTCGTTATTCATGAAAATTTTCACGCCTCCACGTACAACAACGATATCGCCATAATCGAGATGGATCGGCCAGTAGATGTGAACGGTGTCGTGCGAACTGCTTGTTTGCCTGAAGACAGTGAGTTTCACTTCCTTCCTGCTAGAGAAATTATGCAATTTCCGTAATTCTAACATACTTAAAGATAAAATTTTGAGCACAGTAAATA